TTTTTTTTTTTTTTTCGGGAAACTTTTCCCAAAAAATGCGGTTTTTTTCCGGCAGGGGGGGAACCCTTTGGGGGGACCCCCGCCCAGAGGTTTAAAAAATTGCAAATGTTTGCTTGGAGGGTTGGTTTTACCAATCCCGAAAAGGGTAAAACCCTTGCAATGGGATGTTGAAAAAAAAGGGGTTTTTGGGGAAGGTTCCCAAAGCCCCCCCCCCCCCCCCCCCCCATTTAAGAGACTGTTCTGAGATGTAAAATCGGCACGTTTTGGGGCATATTCCCTATAATCAAAATTTTTTTGTGAAAAATCACATTTTAAGGGATCAGTGTAGACATATACAAACTTCGAGTGAATTTTAGTAATTACTAATAAATCGGGGTATTTTTCATAATTGAGCCTAAGTTCAGGATTTCTTAATTTGCCCTAGAATGTATGTACACTGCACTTTTAAGATTGCAAAAGGAAATAAATGTACCTGAGTTTATCAAGGCATTTTCATTGGAGGGATTGGATTTTCTGTAGATATAATACTAGTATTTCACCCGTGCGTTGCACGGAGGTCAGTTTCAAAATGAGAAAAATAAACTTATGTAAACGACTATCTCATTATAACAATACCAATTCAAGTAAAACAAAATGGAAGAAAATAAAAAACATAAACTTTATCTCTTAATTTAGAGTTCTAACATATGAAATTAAGTTAAATATTACAAATAAAAAAACATGAAGCACGCAAAACACGATATCAAGATTAAGTGAAATCATTTAAAACATATGTTATAACACTATTTTTTGGATTGCAATCTACTACACCATGTGAATCTTCTGCAAAATAATTAAGGTAACAACAAACACGGTAGCAGAGAAGTAACACAATAGATATTCAAATAACATGCAAGTTTATCACTAATGGCATACAATTAGTGATGCACATTATTCAAACAACAATAAAACTTATAAATATTGCAAAAAAGATATGTTGTATACGCCACTACGAGTACTGAAACTAATGTTGATACCAATACCAATGCGAATACTGTTACCAATAGTGATACTAATTCGATTAGTAATAATAATAATAATAATAATAATAATAATAATAATAATAATAATAATAATAATAATAATAATAATAATCATAATAATAATAATAATAATAATAATAATAATAATAATAATAATAATAAATATAATAATAATAATAA